ACGTGGTTGGTTGTGGAGACTCCGAGCAACGAACTGGTCAGCATCAGATCTGGACTTCACTTTCCTTTTTGTCTTCTAGGCAACTATGCTCTAGGCTACGAGTTCCTGCGGGTCCGCTACCCGAGTTGCCTTGTGGTAATTTAAGTGGGACATTCTACCAGGGAAATACTGCACAAGTTAATAAAAAATAGAGTGTGATCTTGGTGTCATGCCCAAGGGAGTTGCAGGTCCTGAAATGGTTACCAGTTTGGCCGTGTTAATAGTTTGACAGAACGAACCAATCGACAGTTTTTTTGTTAACGAATTTTTCATTTGTGTTGATCTTGATGCCATTGGATATCAACGTGTTGTCACGCCACAATATCATGCACAGCCCCCGAATTAATCCTGACACTTCGTAGCTTCCTATCCCACATATATATAATATCCACTCCCCTAGGGATACAGTGTCTGCAATTTTCTGCATAAGCAATTGTTACTGTCTTAGAAAAAAAAAGAACAGAATCGCACAGAAATACTGGTCAAAGTTGTTCCCTAAAAATGAAAGCCAGCTGCATGCTCTGCTATGAATACAAGAAAGAAGGTACATGGCCGATTCACGTAGGATCTGTCGCTTTCAGATTTTGACTAAACCCTCGCGGATAGATTTCGTAGATCTCGTAGTTTCTGTCGGTTAATGGATGTACAGATCTAGCTTAGATGAAACGATCATTGAAATCAAGTTTATTCATTTCTAATCAGAATGTGGCCCGACTCAAAATCTGTCGGAAGGGGGCGGGGGTACCCCCGACAGAAGTAAAAAAAATCTGACCGAATCTGTCGGGTGTGTGAGTGACCAGATTGGCCGAGATTGGTCGTTCTATGGCTATTTAGCCGATTTCTGTCCGTACATCGAGGCCGACAGATCCTATGGGAATCCGTCCAGTAGTCAATGCATGGGCTCAAGCTGGATCAAGACGCAGCCCTAGCAGTTCGGTCAATTAGAGGAAGCCACGGAATCCCTCTTCTCCGTTGATACTTG